ACTGTGGAGTACTGTAGTACTGTGGAGTACTGTAGTACTGTGGAGTACTGCACATGAAGGTGCTAATGCTGCTAATGATACATCATGATGTTACCATGGCAACCAGATGAAGCTTCATTCATGTCCTCCATTCAAACAGAAAGACCACTACCCCCCCACTGACAACATGGCCATATCAGACGCCGTCTACAAACCAATCAGAGTCAAGTACAGGTATAGACGACGCCCACGTAGGTGATGAGGACAGGACGGACGTGTGTCAGACAAAATTCTTTAGTCCCTGAATCACAACGTGAAACTAAAACTAACAGATGAAACCTGAACCAACGTGAAGCTTCAGACTCTGATCACAGCAACATAACGTTATCAACATGTGTGAACAGCAGCTGTGATTCCAGATGTTTCCAGCATCGTTGAACTTTTTTTCATTGGTTCACGTTCAGCTGTTCTGTGGTAAGAAGCAAACACAGAGACGCCATTTTAGTTTGATCTGAGCCATGAAGAGTCTGAGGGTTTAATGTTAATGACAATGTGTTCATGTCATATCCAATAAACCAGTGATAGTGATTATCAATGGAATATAAACCACCAATTCAACATTAACACTAATATTATATATTCAGAGATACATTTAAATCTCTGAGAAATAAAGAATTTACTAAAACAGCAATGTTTTAATATCACAACTGTTTTCAACAGGAGGAGTTTAACAGTAGTTTTCTTTTTATCGATATGATGTCAGAAGTGGATGTGAACGCTGCCCTCTTGTGGTGGTCACCACCCCAGAGAGAGAGCTCATGAACACTGACACGTTTTGACGTTTTCATGGCGGAGTTCATGGAAGTTCATTTTTCATTTATGATAAAATAATAATCTGTCATTTTTCTTGTTTTTCTTAATTTTCCATCAAAGAAAATGTTGATGTTTCGATTAGCTTCGACTTTTCACTTTTATTTCGTGCATTTATTAGCTGACTGCTAGCTCGCTGAACTGGTCTCAAACAGGAATTTGAATATTAGCATCCATGTTTCTGTTGCCTAGCAGCATTTTCCTCATACTTGACCACACCCAGTACACGTTAACGCTACTTCTCACGTCATAACCACGAGCTCAGGGCTGCGCTCCTGTTCAGTTAGCTTTTAGTTTCAGCAGCTCCTGTTAGCTGTGATTGTTTGTGGCGTCTGTTAGCTGCTCTGGGGTTTTTCTTACCACAGTAAGAGTCCTGAAATCAGACAACCTATAGACACCAGCAGCTGTTAGCATGTTAGCAATAGTTGATTAACAGCAGTGGAAGATGTGGTTACAGGAAAAATGCTCTGGTGCAATTAATGAAGTTGGAGCTAAACGGCTGAACCTCGTGATTGTTGATTGTGTGAAACTGAGACCACTCTGTCAGGTGATCACTGGCAGTGGGGCATCTGATTGGCTGGCTCCGCCCCTGGTGTGAAGCCATTAGTGAGGCTGTTGGGACACGGGGGCGTGGCCCTCACAGGCGTGGCCTCGACTCCAGAGGTGGGCTCTACCATGGAGCAGCTCTTTTGCTGCAGTGGGGGTTGGACCAGCACAGTTTTAGGACTGACAGACATCTGCCGCAGCCCGTCGGCTCGCAATGGCGGCCTGGTGGGGGCGGCGTCTGTGGGCGTGACATCGGAGCTGGGGGATTTGAGAACGCGTGGAGACAAGGGGCTGAGAGCACTTTTGTCGGTGGGATCTGATTCGTCATCCTGTGGCTGTTGATCTGAGGGCGGGGGTTCTTTGTCTGAAGGGGTGGGGTCTGTGGAATCAGGGGGCGGGTCCTGCTGCATGCTGCTCTGCCTGGAAGCCCCTGAGCTTGGAATTTCACAGCTGTCGGTACGACGTCGCGATCCCTCGTGCATGCGGCTGGTGGCAACGACAGCCTTCATAGCAGCCTGTCAACACACAAACAGTAATTATCTGGTTTATTACGTTGTTGGTGTTTTCACTGTTTGGTTTCTAACCCTTCAGATTTAACTGACTCGGTGGAGAACAAACACAAACTGGTGGATTTGATTGTTGTGTAAACTCTGAAGACTGATGGATAAGGTCTCCTCACCTTGAGCTTACGTCGAGCATTGAACTCCTGTAGTTTCCTCTGAGTGGTGTCCATGTGGGAGAAGCGGGCGGCTTTACCCAGCACCCAGGGGTGCTGCAGAGCCTCCCGGACACTGAGGCGCTTCTGAGGGTCAAGGACGATCAGCTTGCTGACCTGAAAATTGCAAATTGAGTCTCAAGTCAAAATAAACCAAAAGGAAACCATTTCAGGTCAGATGCAACAAGTTCTGACATCATCACAGACAAGCTCTTGTCAATTCTTGGGTTATTCCACTTATGTCTCAAGTCACTCCAGAAATGTTCGGATTAAATTCTTTACAAGTTCATGTTCAGGACCACGTGAACTGAAAAACAGTGTTGGTCTTCAGTCAATCAAAGCAAATACAATTTATCCAATAATGTTACATCACAAGTTGTTCTAACGTGTCCAAGACTCAATTAGTACAAGTTCCAAAAAGAATCAGAAGCAAATCCAAGTCCAGTCTCCAAAGAAACAGATTCAAGTTCAATTCAAGTTCCGAGTCCATGTTGAACCATGTCTGAAATCCTTCTGAAACATGGTCTCGGGTCACTGAGATGAGACCAAAGAATTGGATTCAAAGAATCAGTATCACGTTCACATCACTGACACAAGTCTGAGTCATTGGAGACAAATTAAGTATCATGTCACTCCAGCGACGTCCAAGTCTCATTTTCCGACACGAACTCTGGAGAATGTCCAAAGGTCAGAACTCTCTCCAGAGTTCTCTGGAGCATTCAGGAGAGGGGTGGAGCCTGTAGAGCAGCAGGAGGCGGGACATGACGTCTAAACTGTGTAAAGATCAGTGTTGTTGTTTACAGCTCGTCCACACGGCGTCGGCCCTCATCACCAAAACATCTGGAACCTCCTCGTCTTTCCAAGTGGACGTCTTCGTCTTCTACGTGTACGACTCCTCTTTTTGCTCCATCAGCAGCGCCAGGAGAAATCATGCCACATCACAACATCCATAAAGTTTTAGAATCCTTGCAGACATACAGACTGCAGACCTGTGACTCTGTCTCTGATATTAGGACAAAGTCAAGAATGAGATCAGGCACCTGAGACGTCTGCAGGTTGATAAAACGACTGTCCATCGCTGCAGCTCCTCTTTTCAGCCTCTGTCTCAAACTCTTGGTTTTAACTCCTGTCTCTTTAAGACCCTCCTCTTGATTGGCCGATTGATTCACTCTATTGTGATTGGTCGACACCTTCCGTTGCACAATGTCGGCCTCTCTCCTCACCTGGATTTGTTTGGGGAACTTTAATAGATTGTTCATGTTTCCTTTAACTACCTGATTCTTTTTAAGACTTTTCAGTGTCACACCAGATGACCTGCTCTCACACAGGGAATTCTGGGTATTTAACGTTCGTCTGTGTAATCTGCAAAAAGAATCGTCTCCAACATTCACACACTTTCTGCTTCTATAAATAAAAGTAACGTTGGTCCACAATCCACAGGCATGATGTGAGAGTTTCCCTCCTGAGGAGGAGGAGGAAACGCCAGAGAGGGAGGAAAAAATAAGGAGTGAGGGAGGGAAGGAAAGAGGGGTGGGGCCCGAGGAGGAGGGAGAGCAAACACTCACTTTTTCCAACCAACAAGTCTGAGAATATGAAGCTGGAAACTAAACTGCTGCAGAGAGAAGAACGAGGGAGGAGTTCAAACGAGTTCACGAGAATAGAAAGTGAACTGATCCAGATCCTGACGAGCAAACTCTCTGTTTCTGTTATGTTTCTGTCACATGAGGCCGAGGAGGGCGGGGCTACTCTATTTTCAGTTTAATGTTACACTGTAAAAAACAGAGTAGGTAAAACTTCACACATCCTTCACTCCAGTTGAAGTACAGATACTTGTGTTGAAGTAAAAGTACTGATTCCGCCTCTTTACTGGAGTAAAAGTAAAACCTTTCCCTGTGAAGTAATTTCTATCGACTGTTTCTGAGACATGAATATTGTAGATTTACTGAAACCACAGAAATGTCTCTTTCTTCCATCTGGTTTGTCGTCACAGACGGAAGCTCCTCCTCTCGTCTCTTTGATCTGCTCTGAATGAGTCACATCACAGGATCGTCTTCATGTTGTGAAACTCGAACTCGCAAAACAAAAATCTAACTGATGTTTCTCCTCAAATAAATCAAAAACTTTCAATCATTGTGTTAAAGTGCAGAACAAATTAAAAGTCAGAGAAGACACCTGACAAATGAATCTCGAAGGGAAATGAGACCAGCAGCCGTAACCATGGCAACAGTGATGAGTTTTAGAGAACACGTCCTCAGTGACCTTTGACCCCGACACAGTAAAACAAACATGATTCACATCTGATTTATTTTTCTCACTTTAGTATAAAAGTGAATCCGACTCAAACATGCTAAAACGTGTGAGTTTTTTTACAGTGTGTGTTTGACTCACGTTCTCCTGCCGACACTCCTCCAGCGAGGTGTTGGTGGCGTTCAGGCGTCCCAGCAGCAGCACGTTGTTGGCCGTTAGGCGAACCTGCTCCTCCCTCTCCTTCTCCACCTTCTCCTCCAGCGCCACCCGGTCCTTCCCCCACACCACCTTAGCGCCCTCCAGCTTCTCCCTGATGTCCTGTAGCTCGGCCCGACACTGCGCCGAGCTCTTCAGGTCCGGAGACGTTGCCCAAACCACGATTACAATGAGAGAGACGATGGACCACAATGCCAGCAGGGCGATGGCCACATTCTTGGCCTTCTGGGACGACTTGGAGGGGGCCGCCATGAGGGGAGAGCTGAGAGGGAGGAGGACGATGAAGAGATGAAGAGGATGAAGACAAGACGCTGCTCTCAGACTCTCAGGATGAAGTGAGCTGGACTTTCCTTTCAGTTGAGCTCAGGAGGGAGAGGCTCCTTCAGCCACACCCCCTGCTCCACCTCCCTGAAATCTCAACCGTCTCCTCCCCCTCCTCCCCCTCCTCCTCCCCCTCCTCCCTCCTCCCTCATGTTAGTATTGAGAGGACGAGAGAGAAGCTGTCACATTGTGTGAGTAGTTATGGACACTTCAATACCTTTGTGAGGACATTTTGTCTGGTCCTCACTTCTTCAATGGACTGTTTGAGGCTTAACACTTTTAGAGTGAGGGTTTAGGTTGAAGTTAGGGTTTAGCTTTAAGTTAGGGTTTAGGTTTAAGTTAGGGTTAACACTTTTAGAGTGAGG